CGTAGGCAGCGGTGAGCCTCCGCGCGATGATCGTCCGCGCGGAATGAGTCACCACAATTCCATCAGTTGGTATTATTCCAAGTTCTGGCTTTTAGTGCACCATGAAGGCTTCAAGTGCGTCGGCATCGGTAGAATAAAAATAAATGTCCAACAATGCACACACACTCTCCATCACTATTCAAAGCCACGCTTTGAGTCGGTCACTTGTTAGATGCACAGATAGAGCGCAGTGGCCGACATAGGTAATGACCTCGTCTGTTTGTGTCACGTACAAGACCTTGTCCCCAAAACGCAAACACCCAGATTTCAGTCTAAAGGGAGACCCATGTGGGTGCTCTAGTTAGGAGAAACAACTCTGATATTGGGCGTCTGTTATGGATTAAACTATGTCGGGATCCGCCGGCGCCCTCTTGTCACTCGACGGCCACAACAACCGTGCTAAACTGCAGGCACTTTCTTAATGAACGGCCACCGCTCAGGCTTGACTTGAGCTGAGTCACGGCTGCGTCAACAAATGGAGCTTTCTCACGCGCGTCGGCCGACGTGCTTTTCCACTCATGAGCCCTTGTAATTAGGCCTCACTGACTCATTCCTTGGACTAACCAATCAGATGTCCAACCCCTTGCTGGCCACTCCCTCATTCTGACCGAGACATGTCAGACTCACGTAAACACCATACCGCTACCAACGTGCCCCCTGGCGGACACATTGTTCTGCCACTAGCAAACATACAACCCACGGCAACTTGGCCTGTCTTTGAAATAAACAGATTGTGAAGAGTGTTAGGCCAGTGTACACATTCGCTAAATTCTCCTCAGGCAAATATATTTAAAGGGGAGGGTTAAATTTGAACAAGCGATCGAGAACGTTCGTAGTTTCTAACAAGCGAGAGCCAACACGAGCGCGGTTTATTGCATGCCGCTAAGTGGCTGCAGGCCACGCCAGATGTGGAGTTTGCACGAACTTCTTTTGTGCACACAAGGCCAATTTCATCGACCTGATAGCCGTCGCTTCTGTTGTTGCTAGCAGGCGCTGACCCAGGGACTTCGGATAATTTGGTGGGAACTTGTAGATCACTCGGAAAGCTTCGTTGGGATCCACCTGATGTCCGGAATCAACCATGTGGGCCAGAATAGAGCTGTTTATGCTCTTGACTTCCCATTTTCTTAGCCATGCCGGGAGGTGTTCCTTTATTCTTTTGGATAGGCGCCGACTCGTGCGACTAATATAACCTGCTCCACAGCAGCAAGTGAATGAGTAGATGCACACGGAGGTGGTCTGAGCTGGTAACCTATCCTTACCTTCCCCATGCAACATTGGGTTGATTGAGAATAATACCCGAGCTGGCTGGGAAGGTTCGTGAAACGGTTTGATTGAGGCGTCTGCTTAGGAGTTCGTTTGCCACATCCCGTTGAAATGGGACTTTGAGGAATAGGGTCCTCGTTTCCACAGTGGATATGGTGGGTTTTGCCTCTTTCTCCACCATATTTTTTATGATGAATCTGTCCGGATATCCGTTCTCTCGTAGCAGGCCCTGGATTTTCTGGAGCTCTATTTCAATAGTGTCTTCCGAGCAGATTTTTCTGGCTTTTTGTGTTAAGAAGCAAACTATGTTACGCTTCTAACGGATAGGTACAAAACTGTCTAAGTTTTTATACTATCCGGACCACGTTTTCTTTCGATAAATGCTCCTTTGGACGCTATCGTCAGTTCTCCGACTGAGCAGGACATCCAAGAAAGGAAGCGAACCTGCCATTTCCAGCTCCAAGGTGAACTTAATGGAAGGGTGTGCTTGATCAACAGCATTTAGAAGCGCATTTACATAGGTTTCTGTTGGGAAAATGGCGGATATGTCATCAACATAGCAATCGTAGTGTTTTAACCCATGGATCTGCTTGCTCAGTTGACATTTCTCCAGCTTGCCCATGAAGAGGTTAGCCAAAAGAGGCCCGAAAGGCGAGCCCACAGCGACACCGTCTATTTTTCTCCATAGTTGGTTGTCCAACAGAATTCTCTGATGGGAATTTTTGCGACTTTAAATCGATTCATTCAGTTCATTGACTTCTCGCATTAGACGGACCCCATGTGTATAAGTAAAGCTAAGCCCGCATGCTTGACCATCTCAAGATGACTTGACTCGGATAATGATTCAGTTCGGCAATCCACCCCCTTGCTCTGGAACGTTGGGGATGTTAGTGATAGGACAACACTATCCCTCTGTCAGGAGGTTCTACATCCAGAATCCACGCTTGAACTGGCTGCCCTCCTAAAGATTATCTGACTTTCGTGTACACTTTGTGAGATAAAGATAATTTTGGACTTAGGAGATTTAAGGAGAGATACATCGAAAATTAAATCTTTTGTACAGAGCGAGAGAGAGAGAAATATAGGCTTTATTTTGAAATATAATTCCAACAGCTCATATCACACGCCGCAAGCCCTGATCTGACGATTAATAGATGCCTGCATTCTCCCCTCATTCTTCACTGCCCTCCAGTTATTTTTCCAGGCTTGCTTAAAAAAGACGCGTTCATTTTGAAAAGTATCCTTCCGAATGCTGTCTACAGCGACACTTTAAAACTATCAAGCCATTTGCTGATCGCATTCTTGGTGAAGTCGCTCATCTACTTCACTGTTCCGGTAAGCCATTTTCTTGTCTCAAATTATTAACCCATATCTGTATACTTTTCAAGTTTATCAGAAAGTCACACTCATTTTAGTGACGGGATGTTTGAAATAACAGTTCACGAGT